GTCCCCTACACTAACTCATAAAATAAAGGTAACTAAATGGATCTATATCTTTCCTGATGGTATTAGTTTGAAGTGGATACAAGAGACTAGACTGCAGCTTGAACTCGGTTTGCAGATTCCATTCATCATATCAGCAACCATTACACATAGAACATTCAATAAAGGATTGAAAGTAAATAAGAAAATCTGACTTCAAGATAATATCAGAAGAAAAAATAGGCATGAGTTATATCTCATAATTTAGTATTCATCATTTCTTTAAAAGAAAAGTTATAAATACTGGAAAAAATAGCCATTATGCACACTTGAGACAACTTAATTGGTGACACCAAAATCTGAAACTGCATTAGAAGTGCAAAACATGCCTTTTGAAAACTAAACAAAGTATTAAGAAACAGGAAAGATTCCATTAAAAACAAACAAAAGAATGCTGAACTGCTGTGTCATGTCAGTCATCTTATATTGCAGTGAATGCAGGATAGTTTAATCACAGATAAAAGGGAAACTTGAGACAACAGAAATGCAGCTTTACAGAAAGACGCTGAGAATATCATGGACAGAGCATATAAGCAATGAGAAACTTTTAAATAAAAAGGAAACATAAAGAACACTTGTACTTTGAATCAAAAACAGAGTTGAAATTTCTAAGAATTTCTAAAAAATGCATAGGTTTCCCTCTCCTACCATTAAATGCTTAGGTGTGCCTCTCCTACCAGAAATGCTTAGGTGTCCCTCTAGTACCGAAAATCTGTAGGTGTCCCTCTCCTACGGGAAATGCTTAGGTGTCCCTCTCCTACGGGAAATGCTTAGGTGTCCCTCTCCATTCAAAATGCTTAGGTGTCCCACCACGAGGAAATGCTTTAGTGTCCCACTCCAACCAGAAATTCTTAGGTGTCCCACTGCTACTGGAAATGCTTAGGTTTTCCCTGAATGCTACCGAAATGCTTAGGTTTCCCTCTGCTCAAAATTCCTCTACATTTCAAATGCTTAGGTGTCCCTCTGCTACCAGAAATGTGTGTCCCACCTAACAAATTCTCCCCTACGAGAAATGCTTAGGTGTCCCTCTGCTACCGGAAATGCTTAGGTGTCCCTCTGCTACCGGAAATGCTTAGGTGTCCCTCTGCTACCGGAAATGCTTAGGTGTCTCACTCCTACCGGAAATGCTTAGGTGTCCCTCTCTGACCAGAAATTCTTAGGTGTCCCACTGCTACTGGAAATGCTTAGGTGTCCCTCTGCTACCGGAAATGCTTAGGTGTCCCTCTGCTACCGGAGATGTTTAGGTGTCCCTCTGCTACCAGAAATGCTTAGGTGTCCCTCTCCTACCGGAAATGCTTAGGTTTCCCTCTCCTACGAGAAATGCTTAGGTGTCTCTTTCCTACCGGAAATGCTTAGGTTTCCTTCTTTTCTACATAAAGGATTAGGTTTTCCTTTCCTGCCAAAATGCATACGTTTCCCATTTCCTGCAGAAATGGATTCGGTTTTCTTCTTCCTGTAAACTTGCTTAGGTTTCCCTCTCATTCCAGATATGTTTAAGCATCTCTCTCTTCCTGCTGAAATGCTTAACTCACTGCAGAAATGCTTACATTATCCCAGAAACATTTACTTTTTTATTGTAGTAAGTAACTAATTTGGGAAAGGGGTAAAGTAATGGCAAAGTCAGTGGGTAGTGATAAACACTGAAAACTTGGCAATGTATTCTAGGTCAAAATGTAGTTGGTAAAATATGCAACTCTGATTATTGCTTCATTTTGTCTCACTTTTTCTCTCACTCTCACTATATATATATATATATATATATATATATAGTGTCCATAAAGTTCGTGTGCATTTTAAAAAATTTATAACTTTATTTCTATTTGGGATAGAAATAATTTGTAAAAAGGATTAGAAAGAAGTAACTATATATTTTTTAAGGTTTTATTGAAATTTTATTTAAATTTCCACATATCCTCCATCATTAGCAATACAAAGGGTAATATGATTTTGCAGTTTACAGAAAACATTTGCCAACTGATTTACAGTAATGCCTGAAATCACATTAGTCATTTTAGCTATACTTAAAACTAGGTACATTTAACTTTATAACATTTTTTACAGATTATTTCTATTGCAAATATAAAGAAAGTTATAAGTTTTTTAAAGTGCAAACAAACTTTATGGACACCTTGTATATATATGTGTGTGTGTGTGTGTATATATATATATATATATATATATATATATATATATATATATATAATGAAAGTGAATTTAGTTTCATGTTTTTTGTTTAATAAATTCTACCAATGATATCAGATAAATAGCTAGATTTTTATATATTTGAAAACTCTTTCTTCAATAAACAAAAGAAATCATAATTTTCCCTTAGAATTTCAGACATGTAAACAGCTTTCTATGTTTGTAATCTTTTATATTTTGTTTTTATTAATCATTCATCTTTCTTAGAAATTGTTTTTGCATTAAGGAATATGAGAAAATAAAGAAAAAACTGTTGGCAGAAAATATAAAAATGATATTTTCATTTCACCATCATCATTATAACTGATATATTTGTCATAATACACTGAGGAAATATGAAATTGAATTTTTCCAAAAAGCAGTAACAGTATACACTTAATCAACAAGGGCACCTCGGCATGGTGTAATGGTTAGTAAGCTTGTCTTGCTAGATCAGTTACTACTGAAAAGTGAGTTCGATTCTCACTGGATGCCTCATACTTTCAGCCTTGTGCCACATCTAAGCAATGCTTGGAAAATCTCTACACCTAATCAACATTCCTATTGTTTCCTAAAACAATCTGGTAGTGGAATTTGAGGGCCTTTTTCCATTTCTTTACATATCTATAAATCTACCATTCTCCCATGCTTAGAATATTGCTGCCACATATGGTCTGGTGCCCCTGCTGTTTACCTGAAGCTTCTTGATAAAATCCAAAGAAGAATCAGCAGTACTATTGGTGCTGATCTGGCAGCTCAGCACCAGTCACTTTCCAACCGCCCTAAGGTCGCCTCTCTCTGCCTTTTCTATAAATACTTTTATAGTAATTGTTCGGATGAGCTCTTTGCTATGGTACCTAAACTTTTTGAATTTAAGTGCAGTACTAGACTGGTGTTGAGATCTCATCAATCAACAGTTGAGTTAGCTAGATGTAACTGTAAATTCTATGCTAGCAGTTTCTTTTCTCACACTTCTCACTTGTGGAACTCCTTTCTGGCTCTATGCTTGCCAGTCAACTTTAATCTGCAAAAATTTAAATGCAATGTCAATCTCTATCAATTGGCCTCCTGATTACTTTTTTCTCATCCCACTCATTATTAATGTTTCTGTTCTTCATTCTTCCCCACCCTGTAACCCATTGTGTCTTAGTGGCTTTACAGCCTTGCATGGGGGTGATACTCATTTTTTTTTAAAAAAAAAAGATTTCTTATCAAAGGCTCACTTATGATTTTTTATTGTATTGTTCACCTAAAACAAGGCCCAATAGCCACTTAAGGTAGACAGTTACTGAATGATGATGCTGTAAGGGCATAAAATGAAGAAGTATGAAGTGCTTATTATGTTATGTATGTTGGAAAAACTAGTCTGAACTAGTGAAACTAAGGCTCATCTGAACATTTGCCATACAAGTGGCAATAGAGTAGTACAAGGCTGGCAATGGTTTGTCTGTGGAAAAGGGGTTGTATGGCAGAAATTAATTCATTACCCACCAGGCTTTTAAACTCTTTCTAGCCTGGAAAGTGAAGTTCTAGCCCAGATATGGCAGAAATAGAAATATTTTCATGGCAACTGCTATGACAAGCTTTTTCCCCTGGTGCTCCTACTACATGAATTTAAGAATGCTACTAGATTGGCATTGAGGTCCCACCCATTTACTGTTGAAATAGCTAAATGCAACTGCTATTTCTACTCCATCAGTTTCTTTTCTCACACTTCATGCCCTTACATTTGCTTGCTTCCTTAATAACTACAATCTTCAAAAACTTAAATGCAATGTCAATCACCATCTACTTGAATCCCATTCATCTTTTGTCTTTTTTCAATCCTCCCTATAATCAGTCTTTTCTTTCACTTTCACTCCCTGTAACCCCCTGCATAATAGTGTTATTTCTGTCTTGCTTGGGGTGAAATGATTAAAAAAAATACTCCCTTCTTTGGTCTGATCTGACTCTTGTAAATATAGACAATGGTAGGAGTCAGAAACTTTCTGGAGTGGTACCAGAAACTGACCATTTTTTCAGCATCATGGATCATATGTATCAGTTCCACTTGAAATCTGGAGTGAACTTGAGTCCCAGTAGATGTCCATTGTAAAGAGACATATTGTGTGTATAGTCGTTCATAATGAGCAGAGAAAACTTGAGGTCTGTTTGGTGATGGTAAAATGTTCCTAGTTTGGTTTTGAAGGTATTGATAATACAAACTAGTTCATCCTCAAAGCACTGGGTCAAAGGAGAGATCAGCTGCCAGGCTCTGATTATTTAGATTTTTGGAGTACACCAATAAAATGTGATATTCTCTGCAGATATATTTACTAATGATCTGAGAATTATTCTTAGGCAGAAATATAAGGTTGAAAGAGTGTAGAACTGAGGAGAGAGCCTTGGAGGATGCCTGCATTGATCTTAAGGGCTTATGACAAACTTCTACTTAATTGGAAGAATAATTGAAAAGAGTCTTCTCGAAATGCCATACTTGGAGAGTTTGTACAGTAACCATCTATGCCACACTTCGTCAAAAGCCTTTGAGATATTTAAAGCAATTACTTCTGATGAATTTATTTTTTATCAGGTACTTCAGTGATACTATACATAATAACAGTTAAAACATAAGCAGTGGACCTAGAGTAGCAAAATTCATACTGTTTGTTACTCATTGACAACGTTCTTGTTGATGATTGATTCAAAAAGTTGGCTGATAAGACTAAGAGGGCTGATAGGATGGTAATGATGATCAATACATGTGGTGGTGGCTAAAGCACTGTTGGGCTTACAGCAATATAGTGTTGGAATACCATTTCCCATACGATCACCAAAATTAAACTTTGTTGAGCCTGGTCAGTACATACATGGGTGACTGCTTGGGAATACCACATGCTGTAAGCTTGGATGTGCAAGTGGTATAATGGATAATTGCTTGTAATTGTTAATCAGAAAAATGAGTTTCAATTTCAGTTGAATTCATTATATTCACTTATATGCAAATTCCCTTGGGAAAGGTATGAATCCACCTTTTCTCCCTACAGCTATGGGTTAATTAGTAAGATTTGTATCACTAAAATATTATCTCAAAAAAAGAAAATTCTTACGATCTCAAAATATTTTCTGGTTTTAAATAGCCTGGAAAGGGTTGATAAGCTATAAAAAAATGAATGAATGAATCAAAAACCACTGTTGCTATAATAATACAATTTCATATAAATCAGTGCATAATAATAATTTCTCACCTTATAAAATAAACTGTAATAGATAGTTAAAATGTATACATTCCCAGAAAATCAAATTATAAAACCTTGAATATGTGTTTAAATTTACTCAAGATTAATCATGCAGGTAAAATAGCTGGATTGCAGTAAATGATCACAGATAGAGATCAATCAATGTATAGGTTCCAAAATAAGGAGTGTATCAACCATACCAAGCAAGGCAGTAAAGCCACTAAGATGCAAGGGGTTACTGAGTGTTAAAGAATATGAGAAAAATATACTATTAAGGAGAGAAGACAGAAGGTAACAAGTGACATTGCATTTAAATTTTTGAAAATCAAAGTTGACTGGAAAGCAAGATGCTGTGAGTTCCACAAGTGAGCAGTGCAAGAGAGGAATATGTCAGCATAGAATTCAAAGTTACATCTCACCATTTCAACTGTAAAATAATGAAATTTGCTGCTAATCTAGTACTGCGCTTATATTTATAAAGTTTAGGTGCCATTGAGGAAAGTTCATAAGAACAATTACTATGAAAGTATTTATAGAAAAGGGACAGGAAAACTATGTTACAGCAGTGGGAAGCCTAGATGCTAGGTCAGGACCAATAAAATTGCAGATTCTTCTTTGTATTTTATCAAGAACCTCTAAATCTCTAAAAATCTATATAAATATAAAATTATATATACATATATATATAAAAGCTGAACAGTATATTCTCCCTAGCCATGTATTTGATCATATTAATTGAGAATACAATCATTCAGTACATTATTCCATGACTTTAGATTGTGCAACTGTTGACACAATACAACAATTGTTGTTCTCTGGGGCACAGGTCACCCAGGGAAATTGCCATAGATTATGCAGAGCATGTGGATTAACATGGGTATCATGTGGGCTGGCATTATCCAGCTGACAAAAGCACATTGCTTTCCTGCTGCAAAAATGACAGCAGAATGGGTTGTACGATATTCGTGATGTACATGGCTCTGTTCCCTCCACAAATACCAAAGGTGATCATGACTTTCTGCACCATGATGCTGGATGTTGGGCCTGTGAGTTTTGATTGAATACACTCCCTAGGTGTATGCTACATACATAAACAACAATAAATTGCATGAAGAGAGAACCTGTTCTAATTACTGAATACTACAGAGTGGCATTCTGTCCCTCAGGTAACCCTCTTGACACCAATGGAGATGTGTGTGACAGTATTATGGTGAAAATGGTAGTCTGGCTTGAGGCACGTGTATCCGTTGTCGTGCTGCATGTAAACAGTTCTCAGCAGCTTGTGTTGACACTCCTGCCAAGATATTTATTCCTTTAATTAAGTTTCTGTTGCAATGTTTGGTTTCCAATATTTTCTTGTTTTTTTCTGAGATATTCTTTACTTAATTTTTTCGTCATTTCCTTCTGTTTGATGATATCTGCTTCCAAAATATCCAGGTACTCATAGCTTTCTTTCCTGTTGCATGTTCCGATTATTTCCTGGTTGAGTAATTTAATCCCTTCTCTTGTTTCTCTTTTTTTTCTTGTTTCTTCCAAGCATTGCACATTTTCCAGTGTTAAATTGCATTCCCGCCTTGACTAAAGATTCAGATCATTTCTGTGGAAGTTTTCATTTCCATTATTATTATTATTATATTTTCATTCTGAAATGCACTTAACTAAATGACCAATTTCTTTTTTCCATTTGTTAGTCATATTTTTTCTAGGGTCAGTGACTTTTTTGGTAATTTTTATTCCAGAAATTCTAGAATTACCAGAAGCAGTGGTTGTTACATTATAAATCAAAGAAACTGTTCACCTACTCCTTTTTTAAAATAAAACTCCATTTAGAGGTGGAACCATTTATATTTCCTCTTTGTCTCATTCTGTAACTGTTCCAAAGCTTCCCAGAATTTCAAACCATTTTATTTTTTAAGAAGATTGCTTCAATGACAACAGCCACAACTTAACATCCAAATAAACAGAACTGATCAAAATTGATCAAGTGATTGATTTTCAATATTTTGATCCCAACCTATCTTGCAAGAATACCAAATAAGCCTTGAATGAGCTGCTTTTTGAAAACAAAGCCATGCTGAAATCAACAAGAGAGCCAATTCACACTCAAATATATTTTAATTCTTCCAGTTGTTTTATATGGTTTAGATTGTGCAGCATGATCTCAAATACTTTCAGCTTGAACATTCCAAAACCATATGATGTGCGTTATTGCAGATAACAAGATGATAGAACAAATCAGAAACAACCACTCTTAGAAATGTTATTAATTTGTAACTACTCTTTTTAGTAAATCAATAGCAACATCTTTGAAAGTATGGTACCTGGAAAAAAAGGTAGAGGAAAACCAAAACAGAGATGGATAGATAACATAACTCTGTGGTCACCAATTAATAAATGGCAGATATGAAATAAACTTGCTCAAGAGCATAATAAATGGTGGGAAATAAATCACTTTAACTCAGCCCTCCAATATTTTTTTAAAGGAAAATACCTGAGACATCTGGAAGAGGCATGGCACATGGAACTAGAACAATTTACCCCGGTGGATGAAATAAAGGCTTCGGTTTGAAGTTCCAATCACCTGAAGAAGGCTGTCGCATACAACAGCCAAAAACATGACAATGAAGATGAGGATAACAGTCTGAATAATGTAAATAATACAAGTAATCATAATACCTCATCTCAGAAATATAAACAGATATTAAATCAGTTTAGTTTTCAATTTGCCACAAGCAGATACAGTAACTAATGAATGATGCTGCTGCCACAGGTAAGAAAAAAAATAATGAAAAACATAGTAAGAATTAATAAATTAAAGAATTTTAAAATTTAACAGGGTAATGTTTTTAATCAAAATGATCATTTTATTTTGTAGAATTAGTCAAATGTTCATTTTTTTTTTTTCAAGTTATAAATACCCTTGAATACCTTTTACAGAAATTAATATTTGAACTCGAGGCTATGAAAATGTAAAATTTAAAATATATTAATCCTGATCTTTCAGATATAAGTCATTGCAGTATGTATTGTTTATTGATAACATAAATAGCAGATTTCTGTCTTTTGAGTTTCACATAAACAAGTCATTATAATGATTCTTTTCAGAGAAAAATCCACAGGACATCATTATTCCAACCACTTTTTTAATCAAATATCAAGAATTTCCTTCCATACCTTAATATATACTGAAAATGAATGAATTTTTCACCCACCGCAATTAATTCATTCACAGCTTTTATTCACTATTCAGCAATTTTTGTTACCCTTATTATTTCAACCACCCCATCTATTTGGAACTCAAGTGTAAACAAATAATTCTTTTCTTGAGTTTGTAAGAAGATTTCTTGCTCTGATTGGTATAACATTTATGGATAATTTTCTCTAGTAATTGAGATAATGGACTTTTAGCTAAGTTGTTAAAACACAAATATTGCAGTTCTGTTCACAGAACAAGGTGGTGAGGCCCAGAGTTGATGTGTTCAGAAATCTGTCTTTCACCCAATATCTAGAATATTATAAAAGACCATGTAATAAGTTTTGTGCTTCACCACCCAAGTATTTTTATGAGATGACAGTCATGATTCAGTATCAACTTTTGGAACCTGATCTCCAATTTCATCTGTGCAACTTACTGTTTTTCCCCATCAAAATGGCCAGTACAATCTCATTTTTAATAAAATTACTGAATAAATCCAATGCAATCATCCAAGAGTAAACGATTATGTCATGCATTTTCATTACTCTAATGGTTTGTTCATTATTAACTATTAATTGTATTTGATGTAATGTCAAATCCATTGTAACTGCTACTTATAGCAGGCCCATTCAAACAGTTATGTATAATCTATTTAGTTTTGTTTAACAGTGTCTTAACTATTGTCAGCATTTAGAATATTTCTACTAAGATAGCTTCATTTCCTTCTGGAGAAATTTGATGATTTTATGCATTGAACCATATTTTTATTGACCTATTGTTTAGACATTTAACTACTGAGCTATCACAGTGGAACTTATTCAGAATAAAGAGAAAAGAAGCCCAAGAGAAAAAAAATGTGACAGTCATCTTTTGGGCATTATTGATAATGAGTGGTTTCTGAGAAAAATCAATATGGAACAATGAAGACATTTGCAGCTTTGTAAGTTTTCAGTATTGGAGGTGAAAAAGCATTGCATCTATAAAATCTGTTAAAAAAACAAAAACAAAAATGTATTTGATAATTTTTTAGAAGCTGATGTTGGATTTGTTTTCTTGATGGTTGTGTTTTACTTAGAATAGAAAGGAGGAAAGAAAAAATTAGTTTGGGGGTTTTTGTTTAACTTTCTTTTTTCTTTTCTAAATTTTACACTGCACATATTTTGAAAATCTGACATTTGTTGGTGACAAATAGTGCATTACTTTTCACCATGTTTCAATCATCTTACTTTTGAGATTTGATTTTGAATGGGTACTTATGTACTAAGATATTTTCCTTAAATTTTTTAAGATGGCTGCTTTAATCTAACACTTGTATAATGTGTAAAATTTCAATAATGATACAAATGGTACATTTTGACTTTTAATATTTTAAATGTCAGTTTTAATTTACAAATAAAGCTACTGATAAGTTTATTATCATTTTATTTTAGAAAAATATTTAAAGGAATTCAAAATAGCATTATAGAAAAT